ACTTTTTGGTAATCCTGCCGGCTCTTGGGGGAAACATGGATTATTTTCGAATTTTCTGAATATTTTACTGTATTGTTATGATAAAAAAAGGCGAAATAAATGAAATGAAATATATATATATATATATATATATATAAATATATGTATATATATATATATATATATATATGTGTGTATGTGTATATGTGTATGTGTGCATATGTATGCGTGTGTATATGTATGTTTCTTTCTCAATATTTAATATTCTTTGCCTGTTAGTAATTTTGATTTTGGTGACACACTACTCCCACATGAATAAAGAGACTGATCAAAATTATACTGTATCAAATATTTTATGGTGCAGTGTGTCTTCAAAATTAAATTTCTTGTTAAACCAGACTGCCTGTGATTATTTAAAATATGTAATCATCTGTACGTCATTAAGTTCAATTTTATTTATTCAATTTTAACTGGTGGCCATAACTTAAAGTTTGTATAAACTTATTTTGGCCTCCATCCACACACTTACTTATTTATTTAATATCATTCATCTACTTGAGAATATTGAGCAAAATTTATATTAGTTACATGGTCATGAAATTCATAAGAATACGGTTGCAAGCCCGTAGCCAGGATTTTGATAGGGGGGTTCTTTTTGATACTGAAAGGCCACTTGCGAGCGAAGCGAGCACCATTGGCTGGGGGTCAGGGGGCTGCCAAGGGCCCCCAGCGGGGTCGAGGGGGCGAAGCCCCGGTGGGGGCCGGGTCCAGGAGGGCAAAGCCCCTGGAAGCTCCAGCATTCTAGACATTTACAGGTGTTATTTAATTTATTTGAGAGGCCATACATTTAAAAAAAAATGTATGGGCCTATATTAAAGAGGTGATTTTTTGAGTACTGTACTCACTTAAGACAATCAATAACATAAAAAAAAACCGAGAAAAAATTGTATGGTTGGTTGTAGTGTATTATTATTATATATATATACAGGTGAAACTATCCCCCGCCGGACACCATCCCGGTATTTCTGAGTCAAGGTTTCAGGGCCTGAATGATCAAACTGCACAATAAAATATTGCATCCATAGTACAGTAATATAATATAATATAATATAATGATTTACTAGTATAGTATGGTTGGTTGTAGTGTATTATTATTAGGTGAAACTATTCCCCGCCAGGACACCATCCCGCTGGGCTAGCCAGCCTTTGTTGAAAGGGCACTTCGTGAAAAGGTGGGTTCGTTTGAACCAAACGAACCCCCCTGGCTACGGGCTTGGGTTGTTCAAATAAAACAGAAACTATGTGTGAACAACACCAAGAAATACATTTCAACAGACTTTATAGTGTACCACCCTAGAGGAATCAGATTTAACGCATCACTTGTTGACAATAATTTTACTGAAAATCTCAATGGAATAATCTATTCAGGAACCATTGAGTTGGATCATGGCATCCTGAATAATAACAAACAGGATATGTAAACCAAACCCAAATAGAACACCCCTATTAGAGAAAATGGTATAGTCTTTTGGAGAGGATCAAAAGAGTATAGCTGATAATCTTTTGGTGTACAACCTTTAGCTGATCAATCAGTTTAAATAGCACATCGTCCATAGTTATTATTTTTGTGCACTGAAATGTCTTATAGTCTGCAATGTGTTACCTATATTTAAAGCTGCCTACAATTTTTGTGTTATGATATTCGGAAATATGAAAGCGAAAGAATGGTAGGTGAAGTTTATAATAAGCAATTGTTTGTTTGTTTGTATGTGTACCCATGTTTACCTATATTCATCACCAACAGGAAAGGGTAGGCCTATAGGCCTATAATAATTTTACAGTACTGTATATGCTTATGTAAAGGACTAAACTTCAGTTTCCATCAGATACACATTTTAAAGTGCATTACCTTGACTTGTGTGTACAAGTAGTACTTATGGTCCTAACACCTATTGTTAATGAAAAAGAACATAGTAAGCCTGCTGTACACCATTCAGTTTCATTGTCACAACTTAAATATGTAATGCCCTTATTTTTGGCTTGTCCAGAATATAGTTTCAAGGGCTTAACATTCACAAGAAGTGAGAACATACTCATATTACCACCCGTTCTAAGATAACTGCAGCTTATCCATATATGTAATTTATAATGGCTTGGGCACTCACAGTCTTACCAAAAAAAAATTCAGATTTTTTTTTTTCAAACTAATGAAATCTGCACTATTATTGCATTCTCAGATCGTCAACAAGCACATTGAGTAAAGCACTAGAAACAACCCTGGAAAATGTACATTCACATGTGCTGATTAATTAAATACATCATTCACACTTGAACATTGCATTTTGTTGTTGATAATGGTGTATTTATCGATTGATAAAGCACACGTTTCCTTACAAACCAACAGCTTCCATGCTAAATAATAGTTACATCATAGTATGTGGCGCATGCCTTTCCCTCACCCTCGCCCACCCCTTATTTTCCACAAAAAAAACCAAAAAAACCCCAAACCGTAAATCTGATCCAGACACATACAAATAGTAAAGCAGCTTGTAGAAGTAGAGAAAAAATAGGAGATACTTAAGACACTACTGGACCTTATTCCCTGTTTTTATTCGCCACCACCTTTGCAAATTCTCGGGATGTTCTACTTAACATAAAGAACTATGGCAATTTCTTTCACATTCTGATCATGAGTTTCTTGCTGTGAGACCTCATTTAAGCCATTGAGAAAGCCGGTCACATTTACTCTTACTCTGCACGACAAACAATGCCGTAGCCAGCTATGGGACAGTCCCACACAATTTTTCTAATGGGTCCACAAAGAATAGGTCCATATTTTTAAAAATATTCCAAATTATGTGTAAAATGGGTCAACAGTTAAAAAAATGGATCCACATTATTCAAATTTATGCGTAAAGTGGCTCCATCCTGATATTGTCCCTGCACTGTTTGAAAATCCTGGCTACGGCATTGACGACAAAACTTCGTTGGTGCTTCACAGGCCTATTTCAAAGTCTTTAATTTATTTCTCAGAATGCAGGAAAGTGCCCCATATGAGCTCACCTCGATTGCATTATCTTGTCACTCTAAAACTGATCCACCATCATTATTTTTCCACATTCACACAAAAAGTCTCTGAGGCTACGTTCAGACTTGGAGATATTAAGCCCGGCTCAAGGTTAAGCCCGACTTAAATTTGCCGGGCGTACAGACTAGCGGGATTAGCCAGGCGCGAGCATTTGCATATTTATGAACCATCCAGGAAACAAGTTTCGAAACATTGCGGACAAAACGTATGCTTGCTCACAGAATACGTAATGGAATGCTGATTGGTCAGTTGTTTACCCGAAGTCAATCGAAGACCCCTGCAGCGATTAAAGCCTGGCTTAGAAAAGTTAAACACGGTGCCACACCAGGCCTAGTTACTAACACAGCCCGGCTTGAGATAAGCCACCTACAGTAGTTCAGACTGGCACGTGGATAAACCCGGTGTATTGAGCCGGGTTTATCCACCTAGTCTGAACTAGGCCTTAGTCTGAAATTTTAAGAAATCTATAGTCATTAACAGACCCTTGAGAATACAGAAAAGTGTTGTATCCGAGGAAAGTACTGTATACAGGAATCTAGAAAACAGAAACTTTCTTGGTAAGGACCCTGGACCACCTCTAAATTCTTCTAACACAACATCAAGTCTGCTTCTTTTAATTTGCCCAGGCCCTCGTCTTGCATCCCTACTACAGAACCTTTCTGGTCCCCTGGCATCATATCATAATAGGCTGACTCAATCGCATTAGTCCTTCCATCACTCCCAGACAGTGCCATCGGCTATGTCATCGTATGCCCAGCCTCATGATCATATCATTTTCCCATACTCACACAAGAACATTTTTGAAATAGCTGTAGTCATTATTAGACAGCCGAGAATGCAAGAAACTCCATACCTAAGTATCTAGACAGCAAAAACTTCCCGGAAAGTGCATGTCTGAGCACCTAGGAAACAAAGCCTCCTCCAAAGTATACACATGCCACACATCCCCCACCCCCTTCACAAAAAGCTAGATCCACCCCTGGATTACATAGACATGGGTTAAATTAATGCAACACACTGCCTGCAATAAGGAAACAGACTTCAAACAACAAGGTACCTTTGGAAATATTTTAATGCAACTTAAATCTCTGACAATAAGAGGCTGTGTACCCAGTGAGTACTTTAATTATTATCTGAAATTATTTCTAGAGTGAAGTATACAAACAAAGTTTTGTTTGCTACTTGGATATATGGAGATTGTTTGAAAGGGAGTGGGAATGGTACAACAGCTGACTGATTAGTGGGTGATACAAGCTGATGTTAGTTTTTAATTGGCAAGTCAAATTCTCAGAGTAATGATTATAGACCCAGATTGTGTATACAATTTGTCTCATATGCACTTTAAAGAACCCATGCAGTACATCTTTCAAGACGAGCAGGGGGTTACTGGATACAGCCTCTGTTGTGGACAGATGATAGTAGCTGGTACTGGTTTACCAGGTAGCTTAAACATAAAGAGACCCTAGGGAGAAACAGTTTCTGTACGAGCTGGTACACACCCCGAGCAGCGGTGGCGCCAGAACTTTGCTGACGGGGGAGTCTGACATGTCCGACGGAGTGGTCCGAACCAAGGGGACGACAAAGCCTCGGTCGACGGCCCAGAATAAAAAAAATCCTTGTAGGCGGGTTCACAGGGAGAGTTTTTTTATGGTTTATTATGGTCCAAAATGTGATTTTAGACAATATTAGGAATTTGGCAATCAAAATAAGGTTTTAGGATCGGAAAATTATTATTTTTTAAAAATAAATATCCCTTTTTGTTTTATGGAATGTTCTGTAATAAAAGAGATTTTAACAGCCATTATGGGTTAAAATAATTGTAAATGGTGGTTTTAAACGCATATAAATGAAAGAGATTTTAATGACATTGCTTTAGATTAAATGAATTTATCTAATATTATTCTTATTATTCTTTAACCTTCAATTTTATCAGCGTGAGTGGAGGCGAGTTATTTGAACGGATAATTGATCAGGAATCTTTCACTGAAGTCAAGGCTGCTTTCTTCATAAGGCAGGTTCTTGAAGGTCTGCAGTACATGCACAGCAATGGGGTTGTCCACCTAGACCTAAAGGTAAGATCTATGTTTCTTTCTATTTGCCTAAATTTTTTCGAACAAAAAATAAAAGAATTTTACAAGCTATGCAGATTGAACTAATTTTCATATTGCTATATCCTGAAATGAATATAGGAATAAACTGTATATAAGCAAATAGATAATAATAAATAATTACATTAATTGAAAATTTTTATACCGCAATGTTAAAATTAAATGCGCTTATTACTGAAGGTTATGATGTTTCCTTAAAAATTAATGTTTTGATGTTAGCTTTGAAAGTGGATAATGTCAAAGAATGCTAGAGATGTAATGCTGGGGCGGATGCAGGGGACCCCCTAAATTGTATTAAAGAAACATTTTTCTATTATATTGTTGATATGAACATAGTACCCTGTATGATTTTTAAGGTAAGAGAATTGAATTTCTGGGCACCTACAGGTCCATATTCTCAAAATTTTCGCACCTCAGCACCAACCATGGTGGGCTTGAAGTCATGTGGACTCCCACACACCCACTATACCACCAAATCCAGCATCCACCCCAGTAATGGTAGAGAGTTTAAGAGTAGTAGTAGCTGCAACCTACAGAAATAACATCGTCGCTGGTTCGAACGGCACGCCTGCCTATTGTTCTGGAGGTGGAACAAGTCTTCTCAGATAAGGACTATAAACTGGAGGTCCAAAGTACAATTGGCTCATGTGCACTATAAAGAACCCAGTACATCTTTTGAGACAATTAGGGGTTACCCCGGTGTACTTGTCCATACATCCCCACATGAGAGAGGCCTGTAATAATCGGAGAGAGGCCTGTAATAATCGGAAGATAGATAGATAGATAGATAGATAGATAGATAGATAGATCTATCGATAGATATAGATATAGATATAGATAGATAAATATAGATAGATAGATAGATAGATAGTTACTTACATATAATCTCTTATTTATATCTACTTCAAGTTGCTTTTTTATGCATCTCTGTAGATTTCACATAATATGAGAAAACTAGTAATTACACACATTGTCTCAAAATAGTTATGGCTAGTTTCGCTTACCATGAAATACATACACAATCTTCACCCTCAACCTAAAAATTATACAAGGTATATCTTCACAGGGTTGAGATTCCATTGGTTAGAACATAGGATAAAAGCTACTGAGAATAAATGACTATTATGGAATAGAGTGTCAAAAATATTTGTACTATTATTATTATATGAAATAAACTGAAAATAATAGGCAGCTACTGTAGGGTCTATGTACATATATTTAAAGGTTATATTAAATAACCTTTGTCCCATTATAAACCATTTACAAATCCATTTGACTAAATATTGTTTTAGTGGCAGTGAGATGTATTTACACAATGTGATCGCTTTCTGATGACAAAACTAATTAGGAAGTCCAATTGCAGCTGGAATCAAGTAGCTCAACTCTAAATTCTCACACCATAATTGTTTTATGGCTTTAAGCCTATTGGAAAAAACCTGTTGCGATGTACAGTAATAAAATACGTATCTCGCTCTCATGCAGAAAGATGAGTCAGGTCTGTCCACTTGGATTATGTTAACACAAAGCAGTAAGAGTACTTGTTCCCACTTATTGAAATAAAACAATGCAAATGAAATCGTTTAGTGAGCTGAGAAAATCAAATTTTATATAAGTGCATATTGCGAGAAAAAAAAAATAGGCATGGCAAGATATGAGTTGGGTTGGCACTGGATAAGGCTTCTAACACACTAGGCCTTTGTCTGGGATACTTGTCTGATGGAAAATGGGCCATATTAGGCACATGAACTCATCTGATAGCAAGGATATTTATAAATTATTTTCTATGTTTTACCAATACAATTTTTCATTATATATCACCAGCATACATCTGCACTGTTAATACAAACATTTAATGTATTCAGTTCCACCCGGCCTTTTGCCAGTTGCTCTCTGGGATTTATCTGAAGTTTCTTCACCAAAGAAAAAATATGTATTGAAACAATGTTTTCTTGCACAAAACAGCTAACATTTAAACTGGATGTGCAGTGGTTGGGTAGCTCCAGAAATTTGCTGACAGAGGGTCCAAAAAGTTGCATGCCACGCCCCAAACTGATAAAACCAAAAATGTTAAGTGGGTCGTGGAAACGTTCTTGTATATGTAAAAATAATCATGTTTATTCTATCACTGGTAAAATCAATCACTATAGTATTTTAAAATAAGTAAATACAGTAGTTACTAATACTTACCCCAGGGAAATTCAACAACAGGATGAACATCTCCACTCGCGAACATAGCGTGTGCGTACAGTCCTTTGATCTTTACTGTGGCATCGACAATCCAATACTAGTTGCGAGTACAGCCGTCAATTATTAGTCTATGCATGCCATAACATTTGGGTCGTGACAAAGTGCGAGCCAATGCGCGAGCCATGCGAGCCAGCGAGTCATGCAAGCCATACATTTTAAATCTTTTTTTTTCACCGGGAACTTTGCCTGTGTAGTCCAGTCATGCGCAGTACATACATTATTTATATATTTATTTTTATATACTTATTTGTGTATATATATTTATT